GAAATTAATTGATTGTTCCTGATATAAACGTTGGAGAGCACAATTAAAACTAAAAACAACATTTTACATGAATAAAACCATTCTTACTATCAACCATGTGTCTCTCACGCTCATAGACCGAATACCATGTTATGACCACACAAATTAATTGTGTATGAACCATAAAATTAGATTTTTTCTGCCAAACACATTTTAATAATTAAATAAATTGATTTATAAAAAGGGGACTGTCTTCCCTTCATAATTCTCTTACACTTCTCAGCCTCTTTTATCTCCTCCCACTTAAAAACTGAATTAACAAAATGAACGGTGGTCATCTCCCCGCCGCCGCCGCGTCCGACGACCTGAAATCTCAGCTCTTACCTGTCGTCCATAATGACGAACCATTCGGACAAAAAACGGTGGGACAACATCTCCGGACAATATTCACGCCTAAAAACTGTTACATCGCTCTTGGTCCTCTTCTTTGCGCCGTCGTGTGTCTATGCCTACGGCTCGGCGGAGATGATACGACGACGGCGAAGAACATGCTCGGCGTTCTTGTGTGGATGTTCGCATGGTGGTTGACGGAGGCAGTTCCCATGCCCATCACCTCCATGTCGCCGCTTTTCTTGTTCCCACTCTTCGGAATCACGACTGCGGATGATGTGGCAAATTCTTACATGGATGACGTCATCTCCCTTGTCCTTGGGAGCTTTATCCTCGCTCTAGCCGTCGAACACTACAATATCCATCGCCGGCTCGCCCTTAACGTGAGTTGCTTTATTATCTCTTTATCTCTTTTTTTTTATTCTCATATATTCTATTTTCAATTATTCTTTCTTTTTCTAATTGTTGTGTTAGATACCTGTTTAGTTGCAATAGTAATTTCACCATTTTTTCATCATATGTGCTTTTTAATGTATGTTTATGACAAACTAATATATAAGTAACCAATTTTTTAAAATTAAGTTTTGATAGAAGATACAAAAAAAAATTATTTATTATTATTTTATGTTTAGTTTACAAATATAAAACTGCAACATACAAATTAGTCTTTTATTTACATGGTTTCTTTTATATTTGTAAACTAAGCAATACAAAGTTATATAGAGACTGAAGAAGAAAACAAATAATATGGTAAAAAGTGATTATAGAAACATCTAAGTTTGGTGTTAAAAAAAAGAAACATCAAAGCTGAATAAGTGAAAATAACACTGGCAGTTATTTATTAATCTATGCAATCTAGTTAAGAAGCAATCAAGAAAGTTTGTTTATGTGTGTATAAAATAAAAAAAAATATAAATTTATGCTCTATAATATTTTGTAAAAACTATTTAGCAGAAGCGAATGCTTCAAAGAGTTTTTACTAGTCACGGCTCTGGGTGCAACTTAGATGAACCATGTACTCATGTAGTTGCTAGGGACTTTAGTTCTAGAAAATCCTTTATATATTAATTGATAAGCATTACAATATGTTTTGGTAGCCATCATGAGAATGTTTTTCAAATTTACTAGAGAAAAATATTGATTCATATAAATATATAATATACTTTTTATTAAATTAAAGCATAAAACTATTATTAATGATAATCATTATTTCTTTAAATAAAATTTACGGAATTACCAAATATGGTTATAATTATATAATATATGTATGACAATTAATGATTTGAATATGAAAATAATAATAAAAACTATAACCTCTACTCTTTGTGTTAAATTTATATTGTGAAAATAAATTAAACAATAACATTAACTATATAACAAAAAATATATTTTTTATATATGTTATATTTTGATTTTTTAGAAATGACTACAAATTAATAAAAATATGAAAATTTCACATATAATATTTTTGATTAATAGTTTAAATTTTTTGTTATAGCACGGTACAAACAATTATATAATTAATGAGTAAGAAATATCACTTAATAGATATTTAAATTAGATGTATATATATATAGTTTAGTGTAAATTAAACTAAATACCATTTAATAATACATAAATATTTAATTCCGAAATTGCATTGAATAAGTATTGAGAACTTAATACTTTAATGATAAATTTTGAATTTAATTCTTTTAAACAATGATAAATTACTGTAAATATTAAATCTCTCATATTAAAATGATGTTATCAATATTTTAAAATTTTTATCATAAAAATATACAAATGATCATAAAACCATGTAAGTGTGAATCTTCATTTATTAGATATCCAAATTAAAAGTATAATATATATATATATATATCATTTATTAATTAGATTTATTTAGTCCTAGAAAATACTTGAAGTAATCAGATGATTTTGTGTAGGTCCACGGATGAGTTATGTACAACTATGATCTATATGGATAGCTTCAGTCGAGTCCCCACTTATTATATGTCTGTAGTAAGTTAGTAACACAAAAACAGTTGATAATAACATAAAAACAGTTGGTAGTGGTCTATGTCTATAAAAGGAATGGATGCAAATAATTGTAGATGTATTCAAGAAATTGTGTTTATATTTTTGTCATACAAAAAAGGAGTAAAAGTCCGATCTAACCTCTCTATATATATATAAATTAAGTGGTAGAAAATTTTACGCTGGAGATAAAATTTAATTCTAATTTATTTATATGTATAAAGATATTTAATTTTTATACTTTGTGTTAGTGTATAACCTTTTAATTCATGGTCTAGACCAATCCATATATCAAAGTGTAGCAGGTCAGACACGTACACATGTATGATAATTAGGTTACACTCTACTCTATTATCATCAACAGTCAATACTAGTATGATACATCCTATAATATAAAAATGGAGCTTTCATAAATAACAAGCTCGCACATACTTATCTAATTAATCTGTCTCATAACATTAACAATGGATAATCTAATTCTTGAAGATAACGTTGGTGTTCTGCGTGGAGCCTCTAAACGCGCCGCTGCTTCTCCTCGGCATCTGCGCAACAACGGCGTTCGTGAGCATGTGGATGCACAACGTTGCGGCTACCGTCATGATGATGCCAGTGGCTACAGGGATACTCCAGAGACTGCCCTCGTCGCCTTCGTCCTCATCGGAGATGGTGCCTCCAGCGGTGGGGAAGTTTTGCCGAGCGGTGGTGCTCGGCGTGATATACTCAGCGGTCGTTGGTGGGATGAGCACACTGACAGGAACAGGAGTGAACCTGATACTTGTCGGAATGTGGAAAAGCTATTTCCCTGAGGCTGATCCAATCAGTTTCAGCCAATGGTTCTTCTTCGGTTTCCCGCTAGCTTTGTGTTTATTCGTGGTGCTTTGGTGTATTCTATGTGTACTGTATTGTCCTAAAGGAACAGGGAAAGTTCTCTCTCCTTACCTTCATAAATCTCATCTTCGTAGAGAGCTTGAGATGTTAGGACCAATGAGTTTCGCTGAGAAGATGGTTTTATCTGTCTTTGGTGGTTTGGTTGTGTTATGGATGACAAGAAATATAACGGATGATATTCCCGGATGGGGTTGTGTCTTCAACGGACGAGCCGGTGATGGAACGGTGAGTGTGATGATGGCTACGTTGCTGTTTATAATCCCAAACGGTATTAAAAAGGGTGAGAAGCTTATGGATTGGGGTAAATGCAAGAAACTTCCGTGGAACATTGTGTTGTTACTAGGAGCTGGATTCGCTATAGCTGATGGTGTACGGACAAGTGGCTTAGCTGGAGTTTTATCCAAAGGGCTTGTGTTTTTAGAAACAGCTCCTTATTGGGCCATTGCTCCAACAGTTTGTCTTATAGCTGCTACGATCACTGAGTTCACGTCGAACAATGCAACTACTACACTGTTGGTTCCTCTGCTCATTGAGATTGCGAAGAATATGCAAATTCATCCTCTGCTCTTGATGGTTCCTGGTGCAATAGGGGCTCAGTTTGCTTTCTTGTTACCCACGGGAACACCTTCTAACGTGGTGGGATTCACTACAGGGCATATTGAGATTAAAGACATGATGAAAACAGGCTTGCCTCTCAAGATCGCAGGAACAGCCTTTCTCTCTGTCTTGATGCCAACCCTAGGTACTATACTTAAAATTTTATCATTGCCACCTTTCTTTTACAATTCATTTGTGACGATCAGTTGCTTATATATATTATTACATGACAGGGACTTACGTGTTTGGATCAAAAGGAGGAGTTTAGTTCAATGGGCTGAAGTACTGTCGATTCATTGTATTATATCCTTACCAAGGGGACATCAGTCACTGGTGAAACGGGAAATGTGGATGTGGTCATCAAACCGGCCCATTTTTGTAAACCGGGCGATTGTAGTATCCGGTACGATTGCTTTCTTTTGTGCTGACAACGTACCGGTATGTTTGGTCCTTTTTTGGTTTCATGTGTATGTATGTATATTGAGATGGGATGTTCTAATAGTATAAATTATAAATATGTGTATCTTATTTCTAAAGTTCCTTTCAGTTAGTCGGCCAGAAATAAAAGTTCCTATCAGTTGAATAAAAAAACTCGTAACAGTTAAGTGTTAATCCATCCACCTACTTGTCCAAATCATATCCACCCGGTTAATAATTTCGCCACGTCATTGTCCAGCGTGTCTTCTTCTGTTTACGGGTTTCGACAACACGCAAAGGAAAGAACAGAAAACGCTCGTGCCTTTGTTTGTTTTACATCAATAATTGTATGTCTTTGCTTTTATTACCTTTTTGTCCGTTACACTCATTTATGTTATTTATTTGTCCTTTGCTATATAGTTGTGCATTAAACTATTTGCTAATAATTATGATTATCATCATTATATAGTACTATATCCTTTTGGGTATTTATTTTTGTAGATGGTAGTTGGGCATTGCAAAATACATAAATGATTGGGTCATCGATTGACTAATTGTCAAAATCACTCCTGCAAATGGTAATCCCTTGGGATTTATGATTTAATAGATTGAATGATAGAGATGTTTACAAAAGAAAAAGTTGAATAATCTACTAATAATAACAATTTGATTAACTTTCCATTAAACATCAATTTGATATTTTAACATTTTGCTTCACTCCATGGCCCACGTATCAGAGAATCGGCAAGAAATTAATTAATCCGCGTCACGTCACATATCAAAGGCCATATACTATAAATAACCCTACATACACTCCGCCATTATTAATTCCACAAAACAACGGTTACAAACAGCGAAAATGATTAACAAAGCAATCTTCCTTCTTCTCATCTCTCTCGTCCTCCTTCCTCTCCACGCGCTTGCAGTACCGCTTCTGGGCGGATGGCGTCCCCTCCGCGACGTCAAGGACCCTCACGTCATAGCAGTCGGCGAATTCTCGGTCTCAGAGTACAACAAGAAGAGCAAATCCGAACTCAAGTTTGTCTCGGTCGTTAGCGGCGAGTCTCAGGTAGTCGCTGGCACTAATTACCGTCTTATTGTGGCGGTTAATGACGGTGTGGAGATAACCGGTGGTGGTGAGAGCAAGAACTACGAAGCGATTGTATGGGATAGGCCGTGGTTGAAAACAATGAACCTCACTTCTTTCAAACCTTCCATTTAAACTAATGGCTCTCTGTGTTCTTCTCCATATGTAATGGATCTGATAAAAACAGTAAAAAGTTAAATAAATTAAACAAGGATTTTAATGTTGATTTTTTTGTATTATTATCTGTTTTTTTCAAGTTTCATGTTGTTGGGGGTACGTAAAACCGTAGAATTGATGCAGATGAAGGCAATGTTATTTTAACTGATTGAATGAACAAGTGTTACCCCATCCCGCTAATTACGCCGGCTAATCAGTTACACAGTCACGAGACCGTTGAGAAAGATGTATTAGACTATTAATTATTTAATTAAGTGAGTTTAGAATATCAATCATTTGGAAGAAATTACAAAGGAGGAGGACACGAGATAACCACATGTGAGAGAGAAAGTGTAAAGCGAACATGTCTTTGGTCCATCTAATATTACAGCTAGCTCATGTGACCAGTATTTATTCAACTACCACTTTCACATTTCTTTTGTTACAACCATTTTCTATATTGGAAATTAATTTCTAAATTACATTCTATTACCGATTTCAACTGAACGTTTAATTAACTCATAAGCCTTACTAAAAAAAATTGGTTTGACTAATCGTTTGCTTGCCATATTGATCCAAAGTCGCAGTTTAATGTTTTGTATTACTGTTGTGTAAAACTGATCGTAAATTGTTAACAAGATTATTATCTGATCTTTGTTTTGCTGTTAAACGACTAATTGTAAATCTGTCATTTTATGTCATTAACTATTTAAAATGTATACGACCTGTAACTGGCTGTTGATTGTTGCCATAAAAAACACACATTTGATCGCATTCGCAACAAAACACACCTTAAAATAGTAAAAAATAATTCTCACTTGGACTTTTTTCACTAGATAAAACCACAATTAATAAATTTCCTTTTCTAGAAGAAAGCATCTGAGACATAAAAGAGAGAAAATAGCTTTCCTTCTCTCTCTCATTTCTGAATCTATAACCGCTAAAAAAAACCGAGGCAGAGAAGAAAGAGAGAAACACGGCGAAACACAAGAGGAGATATAGCGAAAAAAAATTCAAAATCCACAGATATAAAAGAAAAGGGAAGAGAAGAGGTTAAAACCTTTTTTTTTTTTTTTCAAAACTTGGTTTAGTTTTTGATTGAAACTAAAAAGGGGAAGAAGATAGGAAAGGGGTAAAGATAGGGTCGTGCGTGTCAACGAGAGGAGGTGCTGGAAGACGAGAGAAAGCCTCCGCGGGGACTTCGCGGAGGCTCTCGTCCCAGCACCTAAGCGGAAGCCTAACCTCTTCTTCAGCCGCCGGCGGCGGCGGTGGTGGCGAACCGTCGTCGGATCAGTCCGATCTAGGCGGTGCGAAGATGAAGGGGCTTTTCAAGTCGAAGCCTCGGACTCCGTCTGACCTCGTCCGACAGACGCGCGATCTCCTTCTCTACTCCGACCGTTCCGTCTCCTTGTCTGATCCAAAACGCGATGAAAAGGTTATTATTGTCTTTTTGCTATCTCATTTGATTTTTTTTTTTTTAATTTTTTTAAAATTTTTCTTTTTGTAGATGGCGGAGCTGAGTAGGAATATTCGTGATATGAAGTCGATTTTATATGGGAACAGTGAGGCTGAGCCTGTGGCTGAAGCTTGTGCTCAGTTGACTCAAGAGTTCTTTAGAGAGGATACTCTGCGTTTATTGATTACGTGTCTTCCTAAATTAAACTTGGAGGTTATCTTTTTTTTTGAGAGCCACATCATTTTTATGAGATCTGGATATTGAAAGTCTTGTCTTTTTTGTTGTTGTTGTTGTTGTTGTTGTTGTTTATTAGACTAGGAAGGATGCTACACAAGTTGTTGCTAATCTACAGAGGCAGCAAGTTAATTCGAAGTTGATTGCTTCTGATTATCTTGGAGCCAATCTTGATCTCATGGATGTTTTGATTCAAGGGTGAGTCAGACTTGTTGCATCATATCACTGAGTTTTGATTCTTTACTTATAGCTTTTTTGATGTTTTTTTTTAATGTCAGGTTTGAGAACACGGACTTGGCTTTGCATTATGGGGCAATGTTTAGGGAGTGTATCCGCCATCAGATTGTTGCCAAGTAAGCAAATCCTTCCATTTATCTCCAGTTTAGTTCCAACGAATAATGGCAATGGGTTTAACTTGCTTTTTTCCTTGGATTCAGATATGTTTTGGAATCGGAGCATGTGAAGAAGTTCTTCGATTTCATACAGCTTCCTAATTTCGACATTGCGGCTGATGCAGCTGCAACTTTTAAGGTTCTTTTAAAAATTGCAACAAACTTGCCTTTTTTCAGTATCAAATGTCAAGCATGCAACGGTAACTCCAACACTGTAATATGTTTTTTTACAGGAACTGCTAACTAGGCATAAGTCTACTGTTGCCGAGTTTCTCACCAACAATGAAGACTGGGTAAGTTTTTCTTACAAGGTTATGTTCTGTGCGTGAAGGCAGAACATTATGAGTGATTCATGACCTACACTAATATAATCTTCAAACGTTTTTGGGTTTTTGGTTTACAGTTTTTCGCGGACTACAACTCAAAGCTTCTTGAATCAAGTAATTATATAACCAGACGGCAAGCTATCAAGGTAGGGTAAACTATACGAGAGTCTAAACAAGTAAACAACATTAGTAGGGGATTAATATGATGTTCCGTATTGTGTAAAACGTTAAACAGTTGTTGGGTGATATCTTACTGGATCGATCAAATTCGGCTGTGATGACGAAATATGTGAGCTCAAGGGATAACTTGAGGATTCTCATGAATCTTCTTAGAGTATGTCTCTTTACCCCAATATCTTCCTCAAATCTTATGTTTCTGATGGGATAATAGTTTGGGAAATTAACTCAAATTCCTTTTGAATTACAGGAGTCAAGCAAGAGCATTCAGATAGAAGCATTCCATGTTTTCAAGGTATATTGTTTTGTATCTTCAGGAAATTGAACGTAATCATCATTTGCTATGATGATTGGCCTGCTTGTTTAACTGTTGTTCCGACGTGATTGTAATGAGATTGTCATCACTGTTGCGCAGCTGTTTGTGGCGAACCAAAACAAGCCTGCAGATATAGCCAACATTCTGGTGGCAAACAAGAGCAAGCTTCTGAGATTGTTGGCTGAACTGAAACCAGACAAAGGTATGAAAGTTTTTTTTAAGTGACAACACGCTTTGTATTTGATTATTTTCCTCCTTGATAAATGCTTTGTTTGGCAGAGGATGAGAGGTTTGAAGCAGACAAAAGTCAAGTCTTGAGAGAAATCGCAGCCCTTGAGCCGCAAGAACTTGCTTGAACCAAACCAACAGAATTCGCCCTTCTTTCCCTTTTTAAACATTCAAAAGACATTTTTGGAGCATCAAAGTTTGTTGTTGTTTCTTTATTAGGTAACAAATCTCTCACTTTCTCTTACACACGTACACAGACGAGATATTTATTTGATTATGTAATCACTTGTACACATTTCACTGTTAATGAAATAAAATGGTTTTGTTAAGCGCGTACACTGGTGAAGGTGTAAGAGAGGAGTCAACTTCAACAGTATTGAGCATCAAATGTATGATTTAAATCTAGGAATACATGTAGAAACCCCGAAAGCAAACCAAAACTAACCCAACAGAAAGCTGATTATTAACCGGTTAAATCACTCTCTAATCTTTGTACCAACCATCTCTATGCATATCGAAACCGGCCACCCTTTCCATCTCTTTATGACTGATTACCAAAGCAAAGGCTTCTAGTACGGCACCAATTATCTTAAAAATGTTGCTTTGGAGAGTCGAACTCCACTTCTTGACAATGTTATCAGACTTACCCGACTCTCCAGAGCATAATTGGCAACATCTCTAATATAAGCTTTGTTCGTTTTATTACCGCAGAATGTAACGGTAGCGTTAAAAAATTAAAGCTTTAACGACAACAATACATAGCACAGATGAAGCACGGCTGACTGATTTTGCAGTCGTGCGGCAACAAACAGAAAATATCAGCGGCATCGGCTTCTCATTGCTTGTATCTCTGGAAGTCCACCAGTGATTGTCGCGGCGTCAAATTACTCTTATTTTTGTTTCGTTCACCGTACATTATAGTCTTAATTTGAATAGAGCCAACTACATTTTAGAAACATTAACCCGCAGAGTCAGCTCTTGGCTAAAGTTCATAAAACCCATACTTTAGGGGTCAAGAAATATTGAAATTTTACAGGGCACAGATTTTTGAATAATTTTACTGGGCACAGATTTTTGAAAAAATCAACAATTGTGTAGTGGCCCTGTAAAATTTCAATATCTCTTGACACTTAAAATATGAGTTTTATAAACTTTAGCCCGCTCTGTGGATTAATGTTTGTAAAGTGTAGTTGGGTTCCATTTGAGTTAAAGACTATATTACAGTCTTCAACTATTTAAAATATATGACAAATGGAATTTAAAATGATAATTCTTATAACTGTATGGAGCTTATAAACTCTTAAGCAAATATATTTCTTTGAATAACAAGTTATTACAAATGAAATTTAATATTATTAAACAAAAAATCACAAATTTTCAAACAAAAAATACAGATTCAAATAAACTAAATATTTACAAAAATGAACAAATAAAATTCTACCAATTCTTTTTTTATTTTTTTTGTCATCAATAAAATTCTACCAATCAATAAAGTTTTACCTACTGTACTTGTGAAACTCTTTTAAGATGGTGATTGCTAAATCTAAAACGCTGTAAGGGAAAAGACACGCAGGGCTTACGATAAAAGAGGCCGAATAGGTCCAGTTAAGGCCCAACTATTATTTCTAACAGCCCATTATAATAAATCCCGAACCGGAATTAAAAAAATTTCCGGTTATTCTTTCTCTCTCTCCTCTGCCAGAGTTACTTCATTACAACAAGTCTCTTTGATTTTCCCAGCATAAGCGTTGAATAATCCCTTCTCGTTTTCTTCCCCCTGATCCATCCCATCTTTAGGGATCCCATCTTACATCGTTGCTGTCTCAACAAAGGTAACCTTTTTTTTTTCCTCAATAATTCATCCCCTCAAAATCCCAAGGAACCCTTATGATTATCTCTGTCTATGTTGATTCTTTTGTTAAATTATGTAAAATGTGTCTGCGAAAATGATAAATATACAATGATCTTCGTTTATTAGTGTGTGTTTGGTCTTACATTTGTCGGAAATGTCATGTGATCTCTCATTTAGCTTTGAAAATTCAGTTTCTAGTATGATTTTCCATTACAGCCTCTGTCTGTTTTTGTCTGAAAGAAATCTTCAAAAAACTTTGACTTCTTTCTCTAGCGAGATTTGTTCTTACTTGGGTTTAGTTTCTTAGATTAAATATTGTTTTTTGTGTGTGTGTGAATATTCTCATCTTTTCAGAAAAAATGTGGCCTACCGATCATTGTATCATTTAAGTATTTTGAAAGATTCATATACCTCTGCAACAATCATTTACTATCTTTTTGTGTTGAAACTTAATGACAAGACTGAGGATTTTCCATCAGTGTTTTAGCTGCACTTTGTGTGATCCACTCATGAGTAGTTTTTGGTTGGTTGCTTAGGGCCCAGGCTTGTCTTTTCTGTCTTAATTCTGTTTTTCTTTCTTTTTGATAGAGAGAATATCGCTTCTGCTTTCTTATTGGAGGCTTTGATGTCTTGTGTATACTTACTATCCATCACCGACTTTAACTTTAGATTCTCACAGTTTGCAAATACTTCTTGTTATATAGGTGTACGCACCCAAGTGATATCTTGTATAGCATTACCCTGTATTAGGTGGTAAAAGATTGGATCCGGCTTTCCAGAAGAGGTAATTTTGTATTGGTTACATACTTAAGATCCAGGATGCATTTATGTGCTGAATACTTTTACTTGTGGTAGATTATTTTAGGCGGTGAAGAGCTGAAAATTAGTCAACTTTGCTCCACTGTAACTTCTAGGAAGCTACCTCACTAGACAGGTGACCTGAAAAGATTCTCTTGCGTATGCTACTGTTCACTCTTAGATCTCAGTCTTTCCCTGTTTCTGAAGTTTCCTTTGCCAACTCTACTTATTCTCTTCTCCTCACTTTGGTACTTTGTTTTGTAGACGGGCTAGTAAAAGCCAGTGGTAAAAACTATGCTTCTGTAGAAGGGAGTATTATAGCAGTAAACAAGGAGATGGCATTTCATTCTGAAGACGACAAGAGTGAAGACTACCTCTTCAAGATTGTTCTCATTGGTGATTCTGCAGTTGGGAAATCAAATTTGCTCGCAAGATTTGCTAGGGATGAGTTCTATCCCAATTCAAAGTCGACCATTGGAGTAGAGTTTCAGACGCAGAAGATTGATATCAACGGGAAGGAGATCAAAGCACAGATATGGGACACGGCAGGTCAAGAACGTTTCAGAGCAGTCACTTCTGCGTATTACAGAGGTGCTGTTGGAGCTCTTCTTGTTTACGACATCAGCAGACAGCAGACTTTTCAGAGCATTGGTAGATGGCTTAACGAGCTGCACAGTAAGAAAACTCCATCTTCCTTTCCTATCTTCTACTAAACAGTCTCTTAATGCAAATTTTGAAAATGTTGCAGCACACTCTGACATGAACGTTGTGACTATCCTTGTGGGGAACAAGTCGGATCTAAAGGACATAAGAGAAGTGCCAACATCGGAAGGGAAGGCGTTGGCTGAAGCGCAGGGACTTTTCTTTATGGAGACATCGGCTCTGGACTCATCAAACGTGGCAGCTGCATTCGAGACGGTTGTAAAGGAGATATACAACATATTGAGCAGGAAAGTGATGAGCTCACAGGAGTTGAATAAGCAAGATCCTGCTTCACTTAGCAATGGCAAGAAAGTTGTGATTCCATCAGAGGCACAGGGAGAGTCCAAGAAAGGTGGGTGTTGTTCTACGTGATTAGAAAACTATTATTTGTTTGATTGTTTCTCTGTTGTCCATGCTGCCATGAAATGAAGTGCTCTTATGTGTTTTAGGTGTAGTAATCTGTAAATTTTCTATTGCAGAAGCTTTTATGAAAACTCAAACTGCTCTCTATTAAGTTTACCACTTTCTGTTGTTAATGATTATGGTCACACTTCTGTTACTGTCGCTTATGATTGAATAACACAAAGTTACAGAATCTTGATACTATTGGTAATCTATAATCAACAGAGATATTTTTTTTTACTATTAAGTGACTTGAATGTAAAATAAAATATTTGTTGTTCTGCCAATGAAGCATTTGACATCGGGAATAGGATCAAACTGAAGTTCAGTAATCAATCACACGTGCAGTTGCATGTGTGACAGATTGGCTCCACACATGATTGCATTTATCGTCCTAGTACGGGATTCCACACACACACATCATCAATGATGCAATATCTCCTTCAGCTCAAACCGGATGTTTTGGTATCTTTTGGCCTACGATCTAAACTGGTTTGCATTTGGCTATTGGTTGTTTCGGTTTGATTCGGTTTAATGGTTTCAATGATCTCCGCTAGTCCATTCATGACCTGAAAATAGGAAAACGGCTATCTATAAAACCTTAAGCAACATATACAAGTAAAAGTGTAAAACTATAACTGAATCTCTAATTCCTTTCATATCTTTTTCTCTTTACCCTTTTTGTTTCATGAAGTGACATCTCTAGCATCTCAATTCGCTGCAAGAACCAACCAAACCAATCAGAAAAATGTTATTAGTATCATGAAACTAAATATCTATTCTCCTAACCTTCTGTGCTTCCTTGACAGCAGCTTTCAGGGAAGCATACTTCTGCAACGTAATAATGTTCTTGCCTGAATCTTCCTGCATTTCAGATGTTGATTTGTCTCAGCTTTGATAAGGAATTCAAGAATTCGATTTTTATATATATACAAAATCCTTTTATACCTTTTGATAGGTGGAAGCATTTTCTGAGACTTTATCCATAGTATGCTCCTCAGAATCAGCATCTCCCACTGTGCAAGTTTCCTATAAACATCCCTTTTTCAGTGGAAATAATTGTGTACACTTGATCGACATTTAAATGGTTATAGCGTAAACCTGGATCTTTTTCTTGATGTTTGGATCATTCCAGGGTCCTTCATCACTGAAAAGACACCCTCCATAATCTGAGCAGGTGCAGTTTCCTCCAAGAAATGTTGGTAAGTTGCTGTTTTATGACATCAAACACAAACAATGCTGAGATTCCAAAGCACTGGTTTTAGCAGAGAAACTAATAAAAGAACTTGGCTAGACCTTGGATCTATCGCTTCAAGTAGCTCTCCAAGGTAGTTGGGTCCTAGCACCTGGAAAAAAAAATTATTAAAGAATCTTTGAGTCTTGTGTCTAAAGACTTCAAAGCAAAACAAGAAAGCCTCAAGTGGCATATTTCTAACCTGAACTTTGGCCAATGTCCGAGCATCAAGAAAGGTCTTGAGTGCAAGCCACAGCATCCTAAATCCAGAACTGGCATTCACAACGAAGAGGCGATGCAAAGTCTAGATCCCAAACCCAAATCAGAATTACAAGGACTGTTCATGAAGCTGCTAATCAAATCCACCTACCGTAACCTACCTCAGGGTAATAGTTGCTATCTATCTTCTGAATCTCCATGAAAAGAGACCTTGCAGATTTTGAGAAATTTGACATTCCCTTTTCAAGAAACAACAAAATTAGCCACACAAACAAAATAACAAGAAAGACGTAAAACAAAACAACCTCTCACCAGTCCAGAGACATCCAAGATCGTTGTAGTAGAAGAAACATTCTTCTCTGAAGCAATAGAACACGCTGGATACCTCAAGCTCAGCGTTTTCTCTTGCTCCTTGATATGATACTTAACATATCTCTCAATGGTTGTTGCTTTCGAAAACGCGTTCAGATCAACCATACCTAGCCTCTCAATGTATATAGGCCTACCACTTTTATCAACCTTATGAAACCCATGAGGGTAATGCTTCTTCACTTCACCGTACTCCTCAAACCTAAACTCCTATCAGACATTTCATCGAACACCTTTGTGAGTACTCTGATCAAAATCAACAAAAAAAAAAAACTAAATAAAGTTTCAATCTTTTTAATTACCTTAGAGATAATATCCACTTTAGAATCGACCCTCCACTTCATATAATTCAAAAACGCATCTTTGGCTTTCCCCAAATCAAAATCCCTCATTTTTAGAAACCTGACACCAGACAAAAACAGTTTCAGCAGAACACATTCAAACAGGATGTTTGGTTATGGTTGTGGACCTGAGAAGTGTATTGGAGTCTCCGTGATTTGAAGGTAACTGGCCGTGGAGGAGAAGCAAGTTACGAAACGCTTCAACCATTTGTTCGTTGTTTGAGTTTTGTTGTTCGTGAAAGGTATCAGGTTGCATTGAATCTTCTTCAGCAGCACCATCAGATATGTGTATGTCTCTGATGCTCACCTCTGTTTCTTGCATCTCTGACAACGATGATCATTGGTTTCTGTTGAAGGAGAAATGAAGTAGAGAAGAAGGAAGGAAGGAAAGAAAAGTGGTGAGAATCGAATAATTGGTTTCTCTCGGCGCGGGAAAAGTTTGGCTAGAGAGAATAACGGCCAATGTGTTTTGTGTGTGTTCCCATTGTGACGTTTGTTTTTGAATTTATTAGTTTAAATGGGCCTATTATGGCCCATGGGCTTACTAATTTTAATTTCATCATGATATGTGATTACAAAGTATATATTCTCTAACTTTTTATATAAAAATAGAATCAAATAATTGAATTATATATTTGCAATATTATTACTTACTTTTTTGCGATATTATTTTAATAAATATCCTTCCGTTTCTTTTTGTATCTAGATATATGCATAACTATTAAGAAAAATTACTTTTTATCTAAAATCATCATTAAATATAAATTAAAATTTTATCAACCAATTACAAAATAGAGAATAAACTACTGAAAGAAGAAAACTAATAAAGCTAAAAACTACTTAGAAAGAAAAAAACATCTTGTATATTGAATCAACAAAAACTTCCAAAAATATTATACAAAAAAAACGAGGGAGTACAAATCACCACTTACAGTTTCAACATAAGAATAATGTGAAAATAAGCTTTGGGTCCCATGAGCCACCATGAAAGATTCCGAACTGGCGTTTCTGAATCAGGGGGCAATTTCTATCACAAAAAAGTAACGTAGTGAATGAAAAGCTATGGGTAAATTGTAAAGTGGATATCCAACTTTTCTGAAAACAAAATTTCCGTAATTCATGTTGTCGAATATAATCACTCTTAACTAATTAATTAGATGTATTATGTGTAATGTTTAAATATTCCATAATATTAGCAAAACAATATTGTTTCTATAAATTAGTTTGTAGAGTTTGAAGTAAAATTGCAGATATCCCCATCTTCAAATTTTGGTATTCGGATAATAATATGTGGTAACTGAAACAATGAATAAATTCTCAAAAAAAGAACATTGAATAAGCATTTTTTGTTTCGATGACAGTTTAAAGTTGATTAGCGTATGATTTTTTCGTAAAATTGACGGTTATCCAAAAGTACATTTTTGTAATCCGAAGTTTATAGGCTAATCAGAGCACCCCCATCAAAGGTTTAGATGGGGGGTTCACACATTTTTCAACACAAAAAAACTATTAAAATAATAAAACCTTATAATCCCCTCTCTCCTAAAACTCTCTCTAGTGATCCCCTCTCTCATGAGGTTCATCACTGTAGCGCGGGCCACACGACACGTGGCGGCCCGCGATTGGTCTATCTTTTTTTTTTTTTTTTTTTTTAAAAAAAGCAGAAAACAAAAACAAAAAAATTTAATAATAAAAAAAGGAAAAGATGAACCCCAAGGGGGTGTTCATTGGTGTGGATGCTCTCACGAACGGGATCAGGATATCAAAGAGAGAGACTATGGCCCCATGTCGGATTGACAAAGAAGGTTTGGAACAGTCTCCAACGTTCAGCAAAACAATAGGTTTGATAGGTAGGCTGATGATGGATTGAGTGGTACTTTTCAATGGTAATGGCCTAATGGGACCAAATGGCTTCACGTGACGCTTATAAGCAGTGTGTCCGCACTACCATAATAAATACACGTAACTCCTATTATTATTTTCGCCTCATTCTTCTTTCCCTCATATTTCATTTTCTTTTTTTTCTCATCAATATTCAATACGACCGTTTTATTATCATCTATTCATTACACTTTGATCGACTGCATGTGTATGCAAATGTGCAATATATATATATATATATAGAGAGAGAGAGAGAGAGAGTATGGGTTACTAATGCTACACTGTGGCTAATTAGTTGAAAAAGATTGGTTTACTCAGATAATATTATCATGATTATGGGCATTCCAATATAATTTAATATATATACGGCAGCGATAGACACTATGAATTAAAAACTTAGTTTTTTTTTGTTTTGAAAAAGATGTATTAAAAAACTTAGTTGCAGTTAAAATTACGAATCATGGGCTCCTATCTATATTTTACATTACAATAAAGCTATATATCACTGGTGGAATCTGAAATAAAAGACAAATCCTAAACCTAAACCTGAAATAAGTAACCAAACACTTGATTCCAAACAGAAACAAATAGCGACCTAACACGATTATAGACAGGCTACTTTGAAAAATAAAAGAAAACGAAATAAAGACTAGCTTTCTTGGTTTAAACAGTAAAAACCAATACACATAAAGACAAGAAAAACTTATAGATTTTACCCAAAAAAAAAAAAAAAACTAATAGACTCTTTTGTGTTCGCTTTCATAAAAACTTATAGATTTTACCAATGTTGGCTTCACTCCACCACACAAATATGACCGTTAAGACTCAAAAGGACCACTTTATAGTTTCTACATGCATGTATAAAATCCATCCATTCTCCATTGTCATTTTCTTACTCCGACCATTTTCCTTCTCACCATGGCGCAACTCAGATCTTTTACTTATTCCTTTACTTATCTCTTTTCAGTTTCTCTCTTAATCTTCATATTCCATTGCTTATGTTTTCGTTTTTCACTTGTTGCAGCTTGTTCAAACTCCACCGAAGATCAACACCATCACCACCGGAAATGGGTGGGTCCCTCAGGTCACAAAGTCATCACCGTCTCACTTGACGGCCACTCTCAGTTTCGTTCCGTCCAAGACGCTGTGGACTCCATACCAAAGAACAATAACATGAGTACCGTTATCAAGATTGCTCCAGGATTTTACCGGTATTTATATTTAATCCTTAAACCTTTTTGTTATGTTTTATGCACACATGCAACCTATAGCTAAGGGTTAACATTTAACTTCTCATTTATACATTTTTTTCCAGAGAGAAAGTGGTGGTTCCAGCGACAAAACCGTACATAACGTTTAAAGGAGCGGGTCGGGACGTGACGGTTATAGAGTGGCACGACCGTGCCTCCGACCGTGGTCCTGACGGTCAACAGTTACGTACTTACCAAACAGCTTCCGTCACAGTCTTTGCTAATTATTTCTCCGCTAGAAACATTACCTTCACGGTACTAATTAATCTAAAAGTTTAAAGATATATATAAACCGCTTTTTTTTCCTTATATATATCATTTTTTTGTTAAATGTGAAGAATACTGCGCCGGCACCAATGCCGGGGATGCAAGGGTGGCAGGCGGTGGCATTTAGGATCTCTGGCGACAAAGCTTATTTTTCCGGCTGTGGATTTTACGGTGCACAAGACACTTTATGCGACGACGCAGGCCGTCACTACTTCAAGGAGTGTTACATCGAAGGCTCTATCGACTTTATCTTCGGTAATGGCCGCTCCATGTATAAAGTAAGCAAACAAAATAAGTGTTACAAAAATAAATAAATACATAAATAAATAAATAAGTGAATATGTTTGTTATGACTTGCATTAACAAATTAATTAGAATATCAAAATGAAGATCCCTTAAAAAATATTGACCAATTGAGTTATAATCAGTTTTGTGTTAGAGATTCATAATAAAAGAACTGATGGTGTTAATTGTTGGTGAAGGACTGTGAGTTGCATTCGATAGCGTCAAGGTTCGGGTCGATAGCGGCGCACGGGAGGACATGCCCGGAGGAGAAAACGGGTTTCACGTTCGTAGGTTGTCGGGTAACGGGGACGGGTCCTTTATACGTGGGCCGGGCCATGGGACAATACTCACGCATCGTCTACGCCTACACCTACTTCGATGCTCTTGTTGCTCACGGTGGCTGGGACGATTGGGACCATAAGTCCAATAAAAGCAAGTACGTACTATATATAATGACACTCATATTTACCATACTTCAGATTAAATAAATGACTTTGATTAATCCATAAATCTAAAATAATTAGGACGGCGTTTTTCGGAGTGTACAATTGCTACGGGCCAGGAGCAGCAGCGACGACAGGCGTATCATGGGCCAGAGCTTTGGACTACGAGTCTGCCCATCCTTTTATAGCTAAGAGCTTCGTAAATGGGAGACATTGGATTGCTCCTCGAGATGCATAACCAACATCAAATGCTTTTCCACTTACTTACCCTTTACTACACTTTGTTCTCATTCTTTACATGGCTTAGTTATCATTCGTTTATTCATTTCATTATTGTGATTCATTTGTAATACATGTCCGAGATTCTTGTCAAAATGTGTAAACTTATATTTATAAAGAAATCAATATGTACTAGCAAAAATATTGGAGTACAATCAATTAGTGAACTTAGCTTCTTGGTTTATTTAAATCCTTTTACATTTGTGATCAGTGGTTATCTCAAGGAATATGACTCTGTTTACAATTTTTAATGCTCCCTCCGTTTCGAATTAATTGTCATTCTGGAGAAAAAAATTTGTTTCAAAATAAGTGTCGTTTTCAAGTTTCGAGACAAAAAATATTAGTTTTATATGATATTCTATTTTTTATTGGTTGAAAAGTGGTTAGATGTATAGGTAATTGTGCTTTTTCTTAAAAATATGTAAAATTAAATGTTTCCTTAATCGGTGTGCAAAAATGTTGAATGACAATTAAAATGAAACAGAGGGAGTAGTAAATATAAATTTACAGAGAAACTGATATATGTATTTTATTATTAGAGTTACACATGGTCACAAACATTTTCATTTATGTAAACATATATTCCAAAAAGGAAAAAACAATGGTCAGAGAATGTATCAAAAGACTAATACAAGTTGTGTAACATAATGCAAGTCCCCCTTACCTCTCTTCACAAAAAAATAATGAATAACAAATACATGAAACACATTGGTCAGGTTTGACCTTATTATAAAAGCTATAATTTTAGAACTTTCTGAAAAAAACTTGTGGTACCATTCTCAAAACCCAAATGAAGCAATGAATCATCTATATACTAACTGCAATATAGTGCCTGCCCCTATCATTGAAGAAGAAGATGAAGGAGGCTCTCTAAGCTCCCTGTTTGCCTCATGGATTTCCAAAGAATTGATTGGTTTTATGTGTCGAGAACTTCCCTACCTGCAACACTGACCAAAAAATTGGTGACTTAAAGTTCCACTTCCTGAAGCTCCTCTACTATACTGCTACCGTTGAGTAGGACTGGCTTGAAGGTCGATGGACTAGTTGGAGGCGTAAACGAGGTGTTGAAGTTTCCGCTCCATGACGCTGTTCTTCTGGAAGCAGGAGAAGGATGATCCCCGTTGGAGCTAATTCCTAATCCATTCATCTGGATGTTGTCCATACTTGGAAATCTCTGCATCGTCATTTGTGGTGGAGCCCCTGAAGATGCTGCTACTTCATCTGCTGAGTTCTCCTCCTGTCTGGTTTCAGCAGCAGCCGGTTCCGATGCATGGCCGTTTGAAGACGATGCAGGTGTTGCTGGGACGAAGAACTTTGCTTTTGCAGGGATTGGGGGTTTAGGGGATGGCATGGAAGGTGACTGAAACATGGTGTGAGAGTTTCCACGACCTTGATTAAAGGTGTCAACGTATCTGCCCCAAAAGAGAGTAAACGTCATAACTATAAGCATGTACATAATCTACAGTGAAACACTAACAAGAGCAACCAAGACAGTTATGCCTGTTTCATACTGCCTAGTACTAAACCAAAGGTGGCTTATATATCCTCCTTAGTGCCATTATAATGCGGACGTTAAATTACGTTCATGATTTAGGATCTAGGATAATCTACACAGATTCTAATTCTAAAGTGCCTCAAGCTATTTGTTTACCTTGCACGAACACCCATACGTCCACGAGATGAGAATTGATTCGAACTTTGTGAGACTGGTGGGATTCCTGAAGAATTCTCTGACGGAGTTGGGCCGCCGGAACTCCAGCTCCCACTAGGTGGATTCATGTCGGATTTGTTTTCATAACCCATTGAGTTGTTTTTGTAGGTGCCTAGTTTTGGAGGAGGAGGCAGAGCAGCTTCCTCAGCTGGGGGTTCAACACCTTTCTCCACCCATCTCTTTAGTTTATCATCATAGTAGAACTGATTTTCTGCGCCTAGTTTTGCCTTAATCCACAACACGACCAGGAGAATTAGAATAAGCTCAAGGATGAATCACCGAGACCAAAGCGTTTAGAAGTGTACCTCTTTTGATGACGACCGAGCTTGTAAGACCCTCCCTACCGTGTCCCTCAGCATGCTGAAACCAAATCGACTAAACCGGGAACCTGCCACACTCTCAGATGATTTCAACTTCGTCACCCCTTCAACCTTTTCTTTTGGGGTGTCAGCCAGATCCTATAAAAAGGCAAAACCATTTATACATTCAATTACTTTTTTTTTTACATTCAAATACTTCAACTCAGTCATATTGTGATAATGGTTTTATATAGACCTGTATTGGCGTTCTACCGAAATCTGGCTCTGATACACTTCTAGTATGTACCGCCGTTCTCCTCCCGTTCGCACCAGACTCATGTACGGATTCCATTGAAACAGGTGGCATCAGTGATGACATTGTATTCACCGATTGACTATATGGTAACTTAGTGGCGTCCTGCTGTTGATGAAGATACTCTTTTGACTGATGGCTTCCTGTTGTTGAATGTGGTGCAGGTGGTGGCATGCCCCCAACAACACGATTCGCCGTACTATCGAAAAGGTTTAGCAGTCTTCCAACAAGTTTTGTTGGGGCCAAATTCGCAGTATATCCACCCTGAAATAGATAAATGTCCGGTTAAGTTGGATCGTTAGAGAAATAGAATATAGACCGCTAAAAATCAACAGTTCCATGTAAGTCTGTTGGAGCCAGAAGTTGTTTGGGCGGGCTGAACCTGTTGGTGGATACGGATTCTCTCTTCCAGTGACGAAACACACTGTTTCCACGTGTCCACTTCAGGAGATCGGCCAGTTTTGAGGCATTTCAATACTGCTTGACAGTACCTGATTATAGCCACAGAACAGCGACATCAGGAACCCATATACAGTGTATAACCAAGGAAAAATTGGTCGAAAATGAATCTTCTTACTTCTGTGCAGCCGAAAGTTTACCAACTTCAGCCAACATATGGGCGTATATGAGTTTATATGGTTGAAACGGTAATAGTATAAACTGAGAGTTTCCCAGCGTCTTCGAGTATTCATATAACTCTGTTCTCTGCCCATGCAAAGATCCACCAACATATAAGGTCAAACAAGTAACAAAAGAATGGTGTCCTCCATGAATTTTGTTGGAGTACGTATGCAACACATATTTTGGAGGAGGGTAGTTAGTACAGGCTCAAAACAGACTCTTCCAGCTAATAGGATGATAAATAAAACCACTGTGACAAAAAATCACCTGTATAGCCTCTGGACTTGCGTATGTTCGAGGATATTTCCAGTGGTCCCCTCCGACTAGACAAAGTCTGGCACTATCTGAGTATTGATCAAAGTTCTTATCCGCGATCAAATAGCAAATATGCGCTGCCATTATCTGATTCATAATAGTAGTTCAAATGTTAACAGTAGTTTGAATGTCGTGAATTTTCCATGAAGTAGAACAATACTACAAGGCAGAGAGAACTACCTCGCCCCTTTCTTTCCACATGCAATCTCCAAGATGAGTTATCACAAGTTCATCATCTGTGGTTCTGTTGGCAGTTATTACACCCAAATTCTCTTCCCAATTGTCAAGCATGCTGCTACTTCCAAACTGCAATTCAAGGAAACAAAGACAGTATTAGCTGCAACTAAGTAGAAATAATGTCCAGAGAACGAGTTTATGAGGTACGTTTTACACAGGTATGTCCTGTTTAGTAGTTATTTTAATAAGCTATTTAACTAAGGGTATATTTTATCGGATTGTTGGTCATAGGAGCAGTTGTTGGAGAATACTTTGTATTCCTATTACCATTGTAATCTTTTTCTCTACATTTTATGTCACATTGTCGGTATATGCATTACCTGGGCTTGCTGTTGAGGCACATTTGAGGAACCAGGAAAGCTGAGATCGCTTGTACTTCCAGTGGAGAAAACTTCAGCGGGTTGTCCTGCAACCAACAGGCATAATGTCCGTAAAGGTGACCCAGGTACGAGCTGGCGAAGGGCCATTTGTTTGACAGTGTCACCATAGAACTGCATCGATTTAAGGCAACGACCAATTCAGTAAACAACCACGAGAGTTGAATGCTAGATCAATCATAGAAAAGGAACCTGTTGGCCAAGTTGTGCCGCAATGACAAGTGCTGGTCCCCACAAATGACCTTCTTGTGCACATTGGAGAGCTTCCATTTTCCTACCAGAAGCCAGAAGATTTTGCACCTCTGAAGCAGTTGCCTGGAAAATTATTCCAAGTAAGTTAATAAGTAAAAACATTACAGTTGTAAATTTTAGAAGCGATATGGGATAAGATGTCAAATATTAGAAGTGATATGGAATACTCACTTGAAGTTGTGATTCAGGTGGCAATTGATGCAAGCACTGGCTAAAAGGAGCATAACCATTTTGTACGGCATCTTTCTTGGCAAATGCAAACAGTTTAGCGACTGCTGCCTCGGCAGAATCCGTTTCCTATTTGCAGTGTAAATACAGGGATGAGAAAATAGTAATACACATCAATGTTAACTTAAGAAGCAAACTGAGAATATATATCCTGCTCACCTTCTGCGTTGTATCAGTTCCAAAAGGGGACCGTAGTTTCCCATAATACTGACAAGATATTCTGAGCAAAGAAAGAAGCATCTTCAAAAGTTTCCCTCTTGAAAAGTCCACATTGGAAGATTCACAATTCATTATTCTCTCATCAAGCCACTTATGCAAGTCCTTACTTCCAACATTTCCTCCAACCAAGGGACCTGGAAGAGATTGCTGATTCAGACAGCTGAAGTAACTCAACGAGTTTTCCCCAGGACTTGAATAAGAAGCACTCCCACAAATAACTTCCGCCAAGTTTAAGAGAGAGATATAGCTTCCCCCAGTTCCCTTCTGAGTCAGATAGCAAAAGGTTAGCAGTACAAACAGATTTGCAATTCACCTAATGGTTTTATAAAGGGAGATTATATATATTCTTACTAATATTGAAAAATATAGTTTTCATAAATTTCCAAGAGTGTAAAAAAAAAAAGCTACTGGAGAAGGACACTTTAGGACTAACCTGACTCCCAAATGGTGAATTCTGGAGAGAACCATTGTCATCCTTCATGACAATGAGCTTTCCGCCAAAACCAAAATGGACAAGTGAATGTGCTGGACGCCCATCAGGTGATCTTCCTGCACTTGGGGAGAAAAGCTGATTGCTCTGATATAACTGTTGAACATCATCTACGTATTGCTGCTGTCCCTTATAGAAATCGTTTGAGAAACTCAATGGTCCATTCTGCGTGACACTAGCCACATTCATATGCTGAGGGGTGAAGCCTTGAACTCCAATCTCATTTGGCTTAAACTGTTCAGCCACAGATCTTGAGCTATACATATTATTTACTTGCTGATTGCCTCCGAAGTTTGATAACGAGGGAGAAGTTACAGCCGCCTCAGTCTGGCCTCCATTTTCTGATTGCCATGCGTTTGTAGCCTGCTGATTGTTGGCATAGTAAGATTGGTCCCAACTTCCTTGTTGGTTATGTATACCAGATTCTTGCGCTTTGAATGTCTGTTGTGTATCATTAACATTATACATGCTACTCTCGCTATTATTCTGATACATAGTAGTAAGCGCATGACCATTCTGAACTTGCTGATCATGAACTTGACCAACTCCAGCTGTTTGAGAAGCCTGGTTGTAGCTGTCCAGTGAGCGCCATTCTTGAGCAATTGTGTCATAGTACCACCCTGGATACTGCGGGTCAAACACCATGTGTTCTGGATATCCATTGCCCACTTGTGAAACCTGGTTCCAAGCAGACAAACTCTCTTCTGTACCAGCCACTGCGGATGTTGAGTTATCAGCAGCAGCAACACCTTCCCAGTTACTCGCAGAGTTACCGTAGCTCTCCTGTGAATTCACCATGCTTGCATCATGACCATCAACTTGATACCATTGGCCAGTATTTGCATCATATTTCCATCCAGGATACATATTCTCCCAAGACTGACTGTTATCCACGTACTGCCCACTTGTGGAATCGTGTTCCACTTCACCCTGATGCTGCTCGAAACCTGCCGAGACAACGCTTGTGTTATTCGTATCGTTAGATACTGCTAAGACTCCTCCAGAGACCACATCAACCTCCGCTTTTCCTTGTAAATCTCCGTCAAACGCAGTGAAGAAATCAGAGTAAGAACCAAACCCACGACCGTCATTAGCTGACGAATCCGCACCAAACGCACCCCAATCAATCTCCTTAACCCCATGCGTCCCGGGGTCATTAACTACCTTGCTTTCTGTAGCTGTTTCAGATAATGACACATCCTCACTTAACTTATTAGCATCACTGTTGACGACATCTTCTTCAATAGATGAAGAAGGCTCTTCTTTACTTGATCCTTCCTTTACAACAACATCGTTCTTCCCTGTATCCGCTGCTTTATTCAATGTTCCATCTTCATCATCCACAGGACCGTTGACAACAGAGAGATTAGAAAAAGCTCTGACGTCATCTGAGTCACTACCTTCATCGAAAGCAGAAGATGAAACCTGAGCTGCGCTGGGAGAATAGGAATCATCAACAAGTTTATCAAAGAAATCCTCGTCCGTTTGATCTTCCATCATGAATTGAGAAGCCGAAGCCATCAATTGAAAATGCCAAAAAAAAAAAAAGTAATTCTATATAACACAAGCGATCATAGACTCCGATCTAAAACCTGAATTTCCCCGATCGACCCCAAAATTGGCTTAACTTTCACCGTCTGATCTATACGCAATCGAGCATGATTGGACCGATCTGTATCGTTTCAATTGCTGATAAGAAACTTACAGATCGTATCTACACAAACAAGGAGAGACGTTTCTCTGTGTCGACAGCTTCATCAAATAAAAATATATATGATTATCTCAAATACGCTTTGATTATCCCAATGCTTCGTGTTGTTGTTGTTGAGATTCTTTCGACAAGAGAATCAATCAAAAAATCGGTGGAAGATGCTCAGAACGTGCTTGATGAAAATGCGTTATGATCCAGATGTCATTTCTCGCACCTCATTTTTGATTTACTGGTTTTTACGTTAGAGGAGGAGGAAAGAGGGACTGGACTCTGTTTGTTTCTTCTTCTTCTTCTTGTTTCTAAAGCTCCCTCAGATCTGCTGAATCCAACGGTGGGCATTCTTCGATCGCTCTTTTAACCAACCGTTTCGTTTCGTCCGTTGATCAGTTATAGCTCGATCCGACAACTGAAATAATTTAATTACCTTTTTTTTATTTATATTTTACTAAACTCGAATAATCGGCCAAATGATTAATGGCCAATTCCAATTCCAGTACCAATTTGGATTCGGTTCGATTCAGATCTACCTAAACATATTTTGAGTTATACATTACAAAATTTTGATTAAAAAAATGTGTTATACAATACAAAATAAATGTTTTGTATAACGTACAAATTTGAAAAATGTATATCAAAATATCTAAACATAACATAAAAGTTAATGTGACTTGTATATTTAGATGAAGAATTAGTAGATATTTTAAATATTTTTGATATTTTGAGTATTGTTTAACTATTTTTTAATATTAACTTTTATAATATATGTATATATTTTCAAATGTTTTGGATAACAAAAAAAAAAAAAATTTAATATAAAAATATTTTATACATTTTAAATATATCAATCTGACTCAAATATTTTGGATCAAATTTGTTTTTGATATTTTAGATATCAAAATTTTGAAATCATTTGAATATTTAATAAGTTTGGAGTACGGAACATATGGGAGCAATCAAACTTTCCAATATCTACATGTGGTTTCTCTCGGAATTCTACATTTTTAAATTTTGTGCACCTAATCAAGATTGGTAAGAGCCTGTCAATGGATATACATAAAAGAAATGTCTTTCCATGGTTGTTGTGGGAGATTTGGAAAGCCCGGAATGCCTTTGTTTTCGAAAACAAGGTTCTAGACCCAGTGTTTGTTGAAGAAGAATCTATATGGTTTGATACATTCACAGGTACGAATGATGGATTCTCTGAGGGTGTTGATACAGAAATGGTTAGATGGAAAAAAACCACAAAATGATTTCATTAAATGTAATATTGGATCTTCTTGGGTGAATTCCAACCATTTTTCGGGTGTTTCATGGATTTTACGCGATGAAAATGGAAGTACAATAATGCATAGCCGTCGCGCCTATTCATGTATGCGCGCAAAAGCCGAAGCAGATTTGTGGGTTCTTTTTTGGGCGGTCGAATGTTTGCACAATTTACGTTTCTTAAACATTATTATTGAAATGGCCTCGGAATGTTTGCATGATGTACTCACAAAGCCCGATGATCACCATGGTTTCAGCCATATTCGCCACAACATATCCTTTCTCCTGGCAAATATAGATTCATGGTGTCTCGATCATGTTCTCCCGATACGCAATGAAGCAGCAGTAGCAATTGCGGAAAGTGTCACTCGAGATTCGTGTCACCAATCGTACATTGCCCGAAACGCTCAGGTGTGGCTTCATCATCTTCTTACTCTAGAGACTAAATAATAAAGGGATCTGGTGAGATTCTTTGTTTTTTTTGGTATCTACTGACGTCCCTTGTAATCTCTTTTTCTTTTCATTTCTGTATAGCTATGTCTTTCAAACCTATCAATGTTATAAAAGAAATAAGTTTGGATTTACTATTATTTTCGAATTGAATTCAGTTCGATTTTTCGAGTATTGATTTTTGGCACAGCCTTGGCCAATCCGTATAAAACAAAAACCAGATGAATAGGCACGTGCGTGGCCAACCAACGCATATGCACGGGTTTTCCTTAAAAATGTCCGCATTACCGGTCCAAAGCTCGCGTAGAACCACCCACTATTAGCTATTTACCCTTGTGTGTGTACTGTAAAGCCTATGAACATATATATCTGATTCATTCTCCATTTTATAGAAATTATCTTGAATGAGCCCATGATGAACCCATCTTCTGTTTTGGTAACGTAATCACCGTTGACCCTCATATAAGATTCTTTTAATCAAACATTTATCTAAGATTATTGGGAAATTATCATACCCTATATACATAAAAACACAAATTTATTATCTAACCACACATACATCGCCTGTTTTCATTTCTCTTTCTATCTTTCTAACTTTGCAGTTTTCACTAAATATATAATTACTTCTTTTTGTTAGTATTTCATAAATAAGCCCATGATTATTTATCCTTTTCATTACGCTAGTGTTTTGCATAGAAAAAAAATATATAAAACGGGAATAATATAAATTTCCATTTTCTCCGTTTACACTGTTGACTATAAATAGAGCCTATAACTCAACATCTGACCATTTTTGTATATAAGATTGATGAGGGAAAGAAAATAAAAAAAGAACAAGCAAATTGTCAAGACAAGAGAGGTTTCTCAGGATCGAAGTCACACTCAAAACTCTCAATTTCTAAGAATGCTTCTTTGCCTTTAGCCCATAACACAAGGTACAGTCCTATAAACATCAACGCCATTCCTCCCACACTGCATATTTTTTTAATCATTGATTAATATAAAGAAACAATCAAACATGAAAAATTATCATTATATCAAAATTAAAACATGAAAAATTATCATATATCACAGTTACCTTCCAAGGCAAATGGACTCTCCTAACGTCAAAACAGAGAAACCAACCGAGATAACCGTAGCGAAAGGACTAAACATTGAAACCATAACCGGTCCACGTTTCTTCATCGCCCATCCATTAAAGCTAACACATGCTCCACTCACCATCCCTCCCTACCAATTTCAAATACATCTTATAAACCATAAACCATTTTGGTTATGTTTATGAATTATTTATTTAAACTCACCAGAAGAGAAAAACCAACTAGGTTTCCAATACTAACCATTGATCTGGTAAGTACTTTCCCGTTCTGGTTTTGTAATAACTGAACCAGCATTGTTATCAACACTCCGATCAACGCCGTTATCGCACTTAACGAAATCGGTGCTGGAAACTCAGCCAATGTCGAAGCCTGTAATTATAACCGAGTTTTAGACCTAAACCGAACCGGTTATCAATAACCGGTTTAACTTACTTGAAGGACGACGTTGGTGGATAAGACAAAGACAGCTCCGAGAAGGTAGATACATCCCACGACTTTATCTCGATCAAATACGAATATTGAAGCATTATCTTTTTCATCTTGTATGATCGAAGCGCTGTGCACTAAGCTCATTATTAAAGCGCCGAATACGCACAACAATGTCCCTAAGATCTTCAGTTTGCTGTAAATACATTTCATATTCATCTTCTCTAACCTATCCAAGAGAGCAGAACAGAGTTACTTCAGTGAATGTTGTAGGCACGTGATCGACGTTGCTTAAAAGTGATCTCACCTAACGGTCCAAGCAATAAAAAAAATGAGACCAGGCGCGAGATTAGGCATCGCTGTGGCCATTGCTGGTGACGTCAACCTTATTCCTTCAAGAAACAGAGTCTGGAACAGAGTAACCCTGTTTTTAAGAACACAAACAATAACTTTGTGCAAATTTTAAATAAGTTTTATGAGTTTTAAAGAACTTTTGTTAATGATGATACTTACCCTGCAAAGGAGATCAAAACTAGCTTACCAATAAGCCTTGAGCTAAGCTCATTTGGCCATTGCTTCCTTCATAAACAACAAGAACAGAACAGAACAAAGACATAGTGAATAATATGTTTTTTTTGTGGAGTATATGCAGAAGTTACAAGACATACCTTTCGAAGAGAATGGCGAAAGGGGAGAGGATTAAGAAAGTGGCAAAGGTAGAGAAGATGACAATGGTGAAAGGTCCAAGACCGAGTGACATCAAATGACTCATGAGCAAAGAGTTGCCTGCGTATACAAATTGAACCATTACTAAACCTCCTACAATCACCACCTCTTCTATCATCTCCTTCTTCATCTTCTCCTCCTCTTAGTGAAACTTAGGATTGATAGAAATCTATTGGAAAAAAGCTGCATGACAAGAAACCATTATAAGCATAATGTGTTGAAGATTAGATTGCAATCTTTATTTCTCTTCTCTTCTTTACCTTCATCCACAAGATACCTTTGAAATCACCATTTTCTTCCTGACGCTTTCTCTCTCTCCTTTTACTCTATCTTTCATTATACTCCTCAATACATTGCTTCTTGTAAGAAAGAAACATTACCCTCCAATTCTTATTCCACCTATATTTGCTACTTTCCAAATAACTTTTATGTCTATTTTTAAGTCTTTTCTTAATCTTAACCTTCAATCTTATCAAACTGCTCAGCAATCTTGTGCCCGCAAAATAAATATTCAATTTTTTTTTGAGAATAATTTTGTTTGATTATATATATGATGTATCGGTCCATCTGTTTAAAAAGGGTAAAGTCAAATGCTAAGACTTGTGTCGAATAAACTTACAATTCTTCAGACATGTCGTGTCTACTCCAGGAGGAGCCATGTTGGTTTCATCGCTTCTTCGAACTTATGGACCAACGTCGTTAATGCTCTGGCTCAGTCCGGTGTCATCGATGCGTTACACGCAGCCGTTGAGTTGCTCAATGACGGCGACAAGCCGGAAGATGCTTCTGCGTTGGTTCACTTGCTCCGCGTCTCTGGAGACAATGGCTACGTTTCTTTGTGCAGACAGCTTCATGGCTACGTCGTGAAACATGGGTTTGTCTCAAATTCGCGTCTTTCCAATTCGTTGATGAGATTTTACAAGGGAAGCGACTCGTTGGAAGATGCTCACAAAGTGTTCGATGAAATGCCTGACCCAGATGTCATCTCTTGGAACTCGTTGGTTTCTGGTTACGTTCAGTCGGGGAGGTTAGAGGAAGGACTTTCTTTGTTTCTTGAGCTACACAGATCTGATGTCTTGCCTAACGATTTCTCCTTTACAGCCGCTTTAGCTGCTTGTGCACGGCTGAAATTCCCGCGGCTAGGAGCATGTATTCACTCAAAGATTGTGAAACTTGGCATAGAGAAAGGCAATGTTGTAGTGGGTAATTGTCTTATTGACATGTATGGGAAATGCGGTTCCATGGATGGTGCAGTTTTGGTATTTCAGAACATGGAAGAAAAGGACACCGTTTCTTGGAATGCCATCGTTGCTTCCTGCTCAAGGAACGGTAAGCTGGAGCTGGGACTTTGTTTTTTCCATCAGATGCCAAATCCAGACACTGTAACATACAACGAGCTCATAGATGCTTTTGTCAAGGCCGGAGATTTCAACAGTGCTTTTCAGGTTCTGTCTAGTATGCCAAACCCTAACTCATCTTCATGGAACACAATACTGACAGGCTATGTCAACAGTGAGCAATCAAGAGAAGCTACTGAGTTTTTCACCAAAATGCATTTGTCAGGTGTAAGATTCGACGAGTACAGCTTGTCAATAGTTCTAGCCGCCATTGCTGCTCTCGCTGTGGTTCCATGGGGAAGTCTCATCCATTCTTGTGCTCTCAAGCTTGGCCTAGACTCTCGAGTTGTTGTCGCAAGTGCTCTGATAGATATGTATTCTAAATGTGGAATGTTAAAAGAAGCTGAGCTGATGTTTGGGACGATGCCTAGAAAGAATCTGATTGCATGGAACGCAATGATCTCTGGTTATGCTCGTAATGGCGATTCAACCGAGGCAATCAAGCTCTTTAACCAATTGAAACAAGAAAGATTCTTGAAACCTGATCGAATCACATTCTTGAATCTCTTAGCTGTGTGTTCTCATTGTGAAGTTCCAATGGAGCTCACTCTTGGTTACTTTGAGATGATGATTAACGAGTATGGAATCAAACCAAGTGTAGAGCATTGCTGTTCTCTTATCAGAGCTATGGCGCAGAGAGGGGAGATTCAGCAGGCGAAAATGGTAATTCAAGAATTCGGTTTTGGGTTTAATGGTGTGGCTTGGAGGGCTTTGCTTGGTGCTTGTAGTGCTGGAAAGGATCTGAAAGCTGCAAAAGCCGTTGCGGCTAAGATGGTTGTGTTAGGGGATGTTGATGAAGATGAGTACGTATATATAGTGATGTCGAATCTGTATGCTTACCATGAGAGGTGGAGAGAAGTTAGTCAGGTTAGGAAGATTATGAGAGATAAAGGGGTGGAGAAAGAAGTTGGGTCTAGCTGGATTCAAGAGCACAATGTTGCTATACAACTTTAGTATCTTTTTCAAGTTTTGTGTTTTTGGTTATGTAAACACAATGTCAAGGTAGTTATGGAATCAAACATGGATAGGATCTAATGTAAAGATCAGAAATGGCATTACATATTTTTTTCATGTAATAAAGAAACAAGAGTTCGGAGTGGCAAACAAAAACAAAACCAACTTCTTGTCTTTTAAGAGAAGAAACTTGCCTTCCTCAGTAGTTTACTCTTCATGAATGTATCAGGTGGTCACCTTGGGACTGAAAGGCCCATTTCTATAGAAAACAGTTAGAGAAATAACGATTAGGACAGAAACAGAAAACTGGTCCCTTGTAAGAAGAAAAAAAGGTGGATGCTTTCAGCTTATTGGTTCTATGGTAAGAGTCTTTAACACAACATCTTGTGAATCAAGTGAAACAACAAACTAGTCAAGCAATCTCATCTAAACAACTTCCTAAATCTAAAGTATCACCAAAGCATTTGATAACAGAGCCCACCTTTAAAAACAACTGCAAATACGTCTCACGTGTCATCGATTCCATCTGGGACAAAGAGCACTTTTACAAATTACTAAAGTATCGTTGCCACTCTTCATGGACTAGTTTCTTAGAGTGAGAATCATATCAAAACAAAACAGCAAGAAAAACAATGACAATCTGACACGGCATAACATCTGGTTTAATAAGCTACACCCCTTCAAAATAAAGTCTTTACAGGCCTTTTTCTACTAATGCTTGTTCTCCAAATTTCTAGGGACTCAAAAAAAGGTTCGTACTTGATAAAGATGCAAGGATCCCACATGGCAACGGTGAAATTATGTGCCTGCATGAATCAAGTACTCATGATTAGACATGCACAAAGGCACAAAACTCTATTGCAACTCTAGAAACTGAATTTACTTAGTTCTAGGTCAAGTCAATCTTCCTACTTGACAAGAGTCAAACATTGAATCTACCAACACTACAAGATACAACTATTCCGTCAAGCAAGAAAAATCATAAAGCCAAGAATTGAGTTAAACAAGGAATAAACATAGTCTAAGTTCATCTACAAGTATAATCCTTTCTTTACAGCAATCTAATGTCCTCACATGTATAAGATGTGAATCTTTTTCTAAGTCTAGCCAACAAACCCGAGTAGCACAACAAAGAAAGGCTGTATAGCCATTGCAAAAACCATAGAAGTATCAAGCTTTAATGCGAGCTAACTAATTAGGTCAGAGCAATCAAGAAAAGAAAGCAGAAGCAAAAACAAAAAAGAAACTCACAAGAAAGAAAGCAGAAAAGAGAGTATTAGAGGTCGGGAGAGGTGCAGCAAAGAGTACCCTGAGAGAGAGCTCGGCTGCTTCTCGATGTTACGCTAAGGCACGACGTCAGCCTAGCAGCCGCCACCGTGCTGTGAAGCGGCAACAGCGACTGAACACAACCTAGCTCAGATGGACACCTACACAATTTCATCAAAACGAAACCCTAAGACTAACCAAAAACACTAATAATCACATAAATGACCAAAATTGACATGTGTAATTAAACGATTGGTTGTATTATAAGCAGACCTGGAGAAGGAGAATCTGGGAGAAGCAGCTGGTGTAGACGGAATCCGAAATCCGGCGGAGGAAGCGCTCGGCGGAGCTCCGGTGCCGATTGGAGATTTGTGAAGAGAAGATCTGATGGCGGATCTGAGAGATGATACGGAGGATCTGTTCATTAATCTGTTGCAAGCAGAAGCCATTGTGAGAAGCGAGATTCAATCGTCGTCGTCTTCTTCTTCTTCTAACAGAAGATTTATAGGGTTTTAGGACGCCGGGAAATAGATATCGTTATTCTGTTGGGTTTGAGAATTCATTAGAGAGTCCATTAAAGAATGTTAATGGGCTTAGGCCCATGTACTGAAAAGTCACGTCATCCAAAGCTGGTGAGTAGCAATACGTGGCAGCCAAACTACTCACACTAAAAAGTACATTCCCATTTCATGCGATAACTAATTAATGTTATCTCTTCATAAACCTTTTTCATTAAATAACTTTTGATTAATCACCTTTCTGTTTCAACTAAGTATTGAATATTATTCAAAGTATAAATTAGGATGAGTAGAATAAAATAAAAGTCGGCTCAAAAAAGATAATCTTGCCATCATCGTGGAGCACCCTTTCAAAATTTTGTATTTCTTTGGGGATCCAAAAGTTAACATTCATCTACAAATGTATGATATGATCTATTGGTTTGCTGCTCGCTGCGACATGTGACTGTATATGTAATCGCATAATATTGTTGATTGTTTTTTGTTGTGCAATTTGTTGCAACGACATATAAATGAACATAACTTACACAATCTCACCATGGTGGTTGAATAGGTCTTGAATAACTAAAACCTTTAAATATACAAAAAAATGCCCTAATATATGAAAAATTATCTAAATACTTTCACATATATTCGAACCTATGACTTGCGAAAAACTACTAACTTAGATGAATAAATATCATTAGAGATATGTCAGCTCTGATCCCATTTCACCCCAAAAGGATAAGCATTCTCTCTAATGTTAATTTTGTGAGTACAATAGAATAAAAGTCATAATCGCAGCTAGTTAAAACTCGACTTCCGTTTAAAAAATATTTATAAACTGACCAAGTCTACCAACTGCAAAATAAAACATCAAACGTATTGGATTAATTAACTTCATAAATCATAATCCCTACAAATATATTAGCATCTTCCAACTTAGCTAATCCAGTACGAAGTTTAAAATGACAAATAGTTAATAGAATAAGATCATCCATCATTATTGGTGTGACACAACGTTTATTTAAAAAGCAGAATTATCGAAATGCCAACAGAAGATTCTTATCCTCACATTATATTAAACCCCATTATAATTGTCACTAATCATGTTAAATATTTCCTAACCTTCGATTAATCAAATAAGAGGCGGTTTGGACGGCATCCAATAATGCTCCACCACGTCACACAGGCCCCATCTTTATCATTTGCTCTTCGCTATATAAACTAGAGCCATGCAAAGCCTCAAGAACAGAAGAAGAAAAAAAAGAGCCAACACACCAAAAAAACAACCAAAAGTCTTTGAGTTTAAAAAAATGGTGAAGATCGCAGTTGGAAGTTTGGGTGACTCATTCAGTGTTGCATCCCTAAAGGCTTACTTGTCTGAGTTCATCGCAACTCTAATCTTTGTGTTCGCTGGTGTTGGCTCTGCTATTGCTTTTGGCAAGATAACCTCTGATGCAGCCTTGGACCCAGCTGGTCTTGTGGCCATTGCGGTGGCTCACGCCTTCGCTTTGTTCGTCGGGGTTTCAGTTGCAGCTAACATCTCCGGTGGCCACTTGAACCCAGCTGTGACTCTCGGTCTTGCTGTTGGAGGAAACATCACACTGATCACAGGTTTCTTGTACTGGATTGCTCAGTGTCTTGGCTCCACCGTTGCATGCCTTCTCCTTGTCTTCGTTACCAACGGCGAGGTACGTACTACTCTAGAGTTGAACTTGTTATTCTTGTTTTTTTATTAACTTCGGTTTGTGTCACTTTAAGGTTATTTAGTTTTATTAAATTTTGGACGAGATTCGAGTCGGATTCTTTCGGGTCCGGATAGGTTCTTAAGAACCTAAAAATACCTAAATAACTTATATCTATATGTTTAAAAATGTTATTAAACAATTTCTAAAACGATAAAAACTAATTTCGCGCAGATCAAACTTTAGTATTATTAGTGGTTGTTTACGATTTTACAAATATTTTTAGGAAGAAATATATGGTTTAAGCTAGTAGAATAATTGATTTAGATGCTTATACAGTTGTACGTACACTAACACTTTTTTAAGTTATTAATAATCTGACAAAAGAAATTATTACATTAAACTTATATAACATGAACATGGCAATAAAAAGAGTTTTTCCCCCGGTTTGCTACAGAGCGTACCAACCCACGGAGTTGGAGCCGGTTTAGGAGCGGTAGAAGCTATAGTGATGGAGATCATTGTAACCTTTGCTTTGGTCTACACTGTTTACGCCACAGCTGCTGATCCAAAGAAAGGATCTCTCGGAACCATCGCACCAATCGCTATTGGTTTCATCGTTGGTGCCAACATCCTCGCTGCTGGTCCATTCAGTGGTGGCTCCATGAACCCAGCAAGGTCGTTCGGACCAGCTATTGTCAGTGGAGACTTGTCACAAATTTGGATCTACTGGGTGGGTCCACTCGTTGGTGGTGCCCTTGCTGGACTCATCTACGGAGACGTGTTCATCGGTTCTCCTTACGAAGCTGTTGAAACCCGCGAGATCCGAGTTTAAATAACCGGGTTTGTGATTGTTTGATGTTTGCTTGTTGATTGGTTTGATGGTTGTGTGTTTGCTTTTGTGTATGTTTGATGTCTCCCTTCTTCTAAGATTGTATGTAGAGAAAAGAGTCATCTCTTGTTCATAATAAGAAAATGTTTATATATTCCACTTTACCTTGTGAAATCTGATGAATCTTATAAAAATCTATATTGTTGTAGCAAAACAATGCATCATCGTTATATATAGAGCAGAGTTCATCTGAGTCCAATTCCATCGATTTGGTTACGGTAAGCCAAAACGTTATAAGAATTTTCTGTTATTATAGGCCAAAAAAATAAAATCATCAGCATTAATCTTGGAAGAAACATGAACACGTTTTTTTTTTAAAAAAGGAAAGAAAAGAAACATGAACACATTCATACCATTCATCATCATTTAAAAAAAAAATGCAGTGGACTATTGATTCTTTTTGTTACGTGATTTATCCAGAGTTTTATTTTGCTTAAAGGTTTATATCATTGGATATGAAAACGGAAATTACAAAGATGAAGTCTTAAACAAATGCTTCTCTAAGATGTACGAGAAAAAAGTGTCATATCTTGTTATATTAATAAGAACTTTTTTTTTTTTGGAAGACTCACAATCTCGGTTAAATGGTATTCAAATTTAAAACTAGAAGGTAGCACACCAACACGAAAAAGAACGAAGAAACACAACCCCTAGGTAGGTAGTAAACGAGAGGAGCAGCAACCTTCTTGTTCATTTTCATGTATCGACAGAGTTTCTCTACTGCTCTTCAGGTATGTCATGACCAGCGCCATCTTCTTCATTTTCTAATGCTCTGTGGGTAAGAGGTGCCATGAGCATCGCCTGCAGTGCCAACGACTCCTCTATCTTGATTATGTCGTTTCCCATTTCATATGAAATGGTCTGCTTTGCCAGTATATTCTCCATCTCGGCCACCTTCAGTTGCAAAGCTCGCAACTGATTCTGCAACATCTGAAAATTTTCCTGGAGAGAGTAGCCTACCTGAAAATGATAACAAAATATTTAAACTGAATAATAGAGAGAAAGCAGAAATTTTGAAGCTAAAAAAAAATAACAATATTAAAACCATTGGTGACTCTGGAAAAATCTGACCGCACTCTGAGATCGTCATGGGCCTTGAAGGGTATCTCAATCCACTTCCAGCCATCTTCTCAACGCGACTAATCACATCAAACCCATCAACTTCACCATCGAGGTCAGGCGACTCCGTCATGAGGAGCATGAACTGAGATCCGTACGTGTTTTCATCACTGCTGGACATGGAGAGTATACCTTTACGGTTGTATTTCTTTTCGAAGTTCTTGTCTTTGAAAGGATGGCCATAGATTGATTCGCCTCCTAATCCGTTCCCATGAGTGAACTACAGGTCTACAAGGTTTCGAACCCGGGTTACACACAACAAGTCTATTTTTCCAATTCACACCACTAGAAGACTAAGTAAATATTTTGTTAATTTGTGGCTGGATTTTCTAAATAAAGGTGTCGGCCGGAAGCAGCTGCTTCTACGGCTTGGCCCAAGGGACGGCCCTGCTCCTCCATACCAAAACTTATTTGGGATCACACGGTGGATGATAGTTCCTTTATAGTGGAGTGGTATACCACACACACCTATGCCTTTCTCCCTTGTACAGAGAGCCCGGAAGTTATCCGCCGTCACTAGGTTCGTGTCGGCGAAGAGCTCTATCACGATCCGACCAACTGTTTTGAAGTTGACGGTGATTTCGAGGAAGACTCTAGGGTTATTCGCCATGTGAAAATTGATCACAGTTTTATGGTTTGCTTAGATTAATAAGAATTATATATGTATATTCCCCTTTCTCTTGTGACAATCTAATAATTTTATGGATGGCGAATTTTTTATATTTTTTAAAGGAAATTCTGGATCCGTAAACATTTACATCCCCTAATACAAGGTCTTAACTATGTAATTTGGTAAAAAAAAAGACTATGATTTAACTTTCGGATAGGAGTGGACATTTCGGTTTTATTACGAATTTGATTTTGGGTTTGGTTTGGTTTGGGTTATTTGAGTTTAAGAAAACTTTAACCAAAATCAACCCATATTAGTTTGGTTTAATTTGGTTTGTATTCGGTTTGGTTTTAGTTTGGTTTGTTTTGTGTTTGATTCGGTTTAATATGGTTTTGTTTGTATTTTTCAGTTTAACTGAGTTCGGTTGGGTCGGTTTGGTTTGGTTCGGGGTTTTAATCGCTAGACCAAGTTGAATGGCAATATTGCTTTATCAAACATCACAATAAAGATATCTAGAGTTTTAATCGCTAGACCAAGTTGAATGGCAATATTGTTTTAGCAAAACAAATTTTTTTCACCAATCTTGGAAGAAATATGAACATATCTGTACCATTCATCATCATTTTAATTTCGAAACAACACATTGTTTTTGTAGAACCATGTAGTACTGGACTATTGATTCCTTTTTGTTGATTTAATATATAGCACAATTTGATCAAAAAGATATATATAGCACAACATTCGATGGATATTAGAACCTTTTTTTTTTGTCAGCAATGGATATTAGAACCATCTGTAACACGATGGAACTCGTGGGGGAGTATCTTTATAGAAAAGCGAAAAGTGTTCATGGTTCCGCGCGATGACAATTATATAGCAGAAAGAAACTGGTCGGTACAGTCACGAACTCTGTTAAAAGTTGTCCGGTCAAATCTTCTTTGGACTCATAAAGACACGACACAAGAGCAGCTTTACGGCTCTTAAAACAATGCACATGTCTCCATGTTATCCTCTAATTATTTCAATTACGTTCTCTAATCTACACTTTGTTCCCATTTGATGAGACATTCCCTGAATCCATGGACTGTGTTCAAAGCACTATTACTTCGATCTCTGATCCCTCTGTCTACATGTCTTTCTCATTACTTATATAAAGAACATGAAGGCTTCAATGTTGTACTTAAGTTTGAACAGTTAGTATCTTCTCTCTAAGTTTGAACAATTACAAGTTATTAAAGAAAGGGTTTTTGTTTTGCTTCTTCTTTTCAAATTATCTCTAAAACTTCTGCCATCATTTTGATTTTTTTTGAAAATCTGAGGAGAAAATGGAAGGTGGGTTCTATTCAGATTGGAATGTTAGTTCTTCATCATTATTTGGATCAGATTATCTGGAGGAAGAGTTGGAGGAGGTAACTGTGAGAGCTGAAGAGGTTTTCTCTCGGATTCCTCAGCCTCAGACACCAAGGGAGTCAATGAAGTTTCTGTCCAGATCATGGAGTCTATCCGCTTCTGAAATGTCCAAAGCTCTATCTCAGAAACAGAGACAACACCAAGCTCTGGCTACTGTTTCCCATAACAGTTCTAGTGTTTTCTTCCAAGATTCTGCTGCAGATCCACTTATGGTATGATCTCACCGTTTGACTGGTTTTGAGTTCTGATTTTGACAAATTCGTTGGAAATGTAGGTAGGGAAGATCATGAACTCAACTGTTACACGTAAATCAGGGAGGTTAACAAAGTGGTTTCACCAAAAGCAACACACCAACCCAAACACAATGAGGAAGCCGAAGAGGAAAGACAAAGCGCGTGTGGAGAGAGCCCATGTCCACTCAGCTGTGTCCATCGCAGCTCTGGCAGCTGGGTTAGCGTCTGTGACGTCCGAGGAAAGCTGCAGTAAAGGGTCAAGCTCCATGATGACGCTGGCTCTGGCCTCAGCCACTGAGCTACTGGCTGCTCATTGCATTGAGATGGCTGAGCAAGCAGGTGCTGATCGTGCTTGTGTTGCCGCCACGGTTAGGTCTTCCATTGATATCCACACACCTGGTGATCTATCAACTCTCACAGCCGCTGCTGCAACTGGTAAGGCTATTGTTAGAGGCTTTGGTTAGGTTAGTGAGATGGTGTTTGAACTGATTTTTTGTTGAAAACTGAATCAAGCTTTGAGAGGAGAAGCAGCTTTGAAGGTGAGGCAGCCAAAAGAAGCAAGGAAGAACGCGAGTATCACACCTTGTGAGAGGAGCTTCTCTGACTCTAGCTGGACTGCAAATTGTCAGTTTAGATTGGATGAACCAAACCTTCCTTTAGAAGGTGACTTGGTGCAATGTGCACAAAACGGTAAATCCTATTCTTCTGTTAGTCAAGACTGGTTCCACTGGTTAAGATGCTTATACTAAACTTTGTCAACAGGAGCACATCGACTTAAGAGAGTTTGTGTCTACATCAACAAGAAGTCTCAGGTACTTAAGCAGACTGGATTCTGTCTGTTATTTGCTTCATTCATACTGTATAAAAGATACTTAACTAGAGAGCTCTGTGAATTTCTCAGGTCATGATCAAACTCAAAAGCAAACACATTGGTGGGACATTCTCCAAGAAGATCAAATGTAAGCATTTTCTATTTTTTTTTCCAAGAGTTAGGGAAGTTACTTGAAACATGGAACACTGAAGCTTCTTGTTCCTTATTGAAGGCGTTGTTTATGGAGTCTGCGACGAGATATCTGCATGGCCTTACAGGAAAGATAGAGAAAACTCAGAAGAAGATGTTTATTTTGGTCTGAAAACTGGACAAGGTCTTCTGGAGTTCAAATGCAAGAGTAAGATTCAGAAGCAGAGATGGGTTGCCGGGATCCAGTCTACTCTCCGCCAAGTAACTTGTCTTGAGTCTGACAAATGCTCTCTTGAATCTTTGAGCCTCAGCGACCGTATGCGATAGAGAGTCCTGTAAATACTTGTTTCATAGTTTCACAAATACTGCAAGTGAATTAGAAATCTTCTTTTGAGTTATTAATACAACAAAAAAAAATCAGATGAGAACCGTAGTCATTGCTTGTTCTATTAGAATACAACAGTCTTGTTTGTTCCATAAGGTAACACCCGTAGCTCGCAGTATGACTTTATAGCTTTTGTGAGGCATTTTTTCTCGAGGTCCTCAGATTTCTGGACAAAGCTCCTAAGATTGTCCCTGTGGGAAACACTCTCAACCTATGAAAATGAGAATTCAGACAGGTTATTTTGAGTAGATGCCGAAGAACACTGACATATCTTTTTAGAAGTTACTAATCAAATAGTTGGCAGACAAAGTTTACCATTTGTTCGATGATAGGCCCTGCATCAAGTTCCTCTGTAACAAAGTGACTTGTTGCCCCAATTAGCTTCACACCTGCATCAAACGCCTGCACAAAGTATCTAGAACACTAAGAAACAAAGAACGAAAGACCAAACCATATAACCAGTTAAGAGAAGGTGGTGGAACATGAGAAAACTGAAAGACCTGTTTGGCTGGATATCCGCCCTTGAATGATGGCAAGAGACCATGATGGATGTTGATTACATCCTTTCCATAACCTTTCAAGAAAGTACCCGATAGAATCTGCCATAAGAAAATGTGACCATTAGTACTATCCTTGAAAGAATTTGATATGAATTGTCGTCTGGGAGAGATATTAGACAATTATATACATTTCCCGGTGTAGAAAGAGAAGAAGCAACTAAGTTGTAACATTCATCTAACGGCTAAACATAGACCGTTAAGTTTTTAGTAACAACCTGTGCCTAACAATTTGAGTAAGGAAAGAAACAAGACTAAAAAAAAGAGTGTGACATACCTGCATGTATCTAGCGAGAACTAAGAAGTCAGTATCTTTAACCAATTCCAAAATCTCATCTTCTCGTTTATTCTCTTTTGTTGTGGCTACATAATGATACGGAATGCCATGCCTCTCAAGAAACCGCATAACATGAGTGTTTGGAGCTCTCTCATGATTACTGTAAACACACACCAAACACCAGAGTCAGTAAAAACATACATGGACTAAGTCTGATGAAAATGAACTAATTATCACACCTTATCACACAAGTTATATCCACAGGAAGTTTTCCGTCTTGCCATCTATGCAACATCTCCACCAGACAGTGATCCTGTATAACAACACAGAATCACACACTTCTCAGCAAAATAGTACACAAAAAAAATGTAAAAAAAGGAGGTTTCAAACATCTCCAGCACCTGTTTAGAAAGAAGAAGAGCTATCTTATACTTGGGATCAATAGAAGGCACACGCACAACCGAGTTCATAGCACCGTACGTTTGCGCAATAGCTTTAAAATCTTCACTCACTTGACTTCTCGGCCATTTAACCGGATCAAATATAAACTCACTGTCAAAGAAACCATCTTTTTCATCACCAAAATCTCTTCCAAATATGTATTCACTATCAAAAGCTTTTGACTTTCACTCAAGACATGTCTTCATAAAATTTGTGATTCACTATCAAAAGCTTTTGACTTTCACTCTCAAGACATATGTCTTCATCAAAAAAAGAAGAGATTTTGAGATATTACCTACGAGAGTAGAAGACGTTGTTGTTCTCAGGAACAAAGACATCGTAGCCAAGAATGTTTCCGCCTTTAGCTGCAATACAATCTGATAACTTTGCTACGATTCCAACTGCATCCTGTTAAAGGATTCGAATTTGAAATCAAAGAGAGGAGCAAAAAAGGAAGAGACTTTTTGATATGGGCGTGTGTAAACCTGACAGTGGAAGACGTGGACGCCGGGAATGAGAACGGGTGAGACGGAGGAATCGAGAGACTCGCCGTGAAATCGAGACGACGAGGATTTGAGGAGCCGGTTCTTGGAGAAACAACCAGAAGCAGCTCTCTCTGTGATTCTTCGTATCATCATCATCGTTCGTCGTCGTCGTCACACTCTCGGCCTCGAACGAGACCAATCACGGTCCCGATTCCCGAGAGGATCCCCTCCACTATTTTTTATTTCTTTTTGTTGCTTTACTATCTTTTCTATTTTCTTTTTCTTTTTATATCTAAGTTGGAAAGACACATTTAAAAAAAAAAAGTATTGTCTGAGCTCCAAAGATTCTAAAAGATGTCTTTATTTTTTTTTGTTTTGTCTTCCTTCAAAAGGTCTCCACATGGTAAGGCATGTGTTTTTTGGTAATGTTTTTAAACACAATTTAGACACTGCGATTTTTGACGGAACCGAATGGGCGGGCCAAACCAGACCGAACCGTTTTTTTTTCGGCTATCGGTTCGGTTCGGTTTCCAATTCGGTATGGTTTTAAAAACTAATTCGATTTCGGTTCGGATTTTCGATTTTCAAAATAACAAAAAAATTAAAAACCAAAAATAACCAAAAGAAAACGAACCAAAAATAATCGAATAACCCAAAATAACTGAATATTTTGGAAATTAATACCAAAATTAACCGAAAATTTAAAAATTCGATTATTTTCGGAAATAAAATTGATAACCGAAATAAACCAAACCGAAATTTCATTCGATTTATTTCGGAATTGTTTTAAAAACTTAGGTTAATCGAAAACCGACGGTTCGGTTTCGGAAAACTGAAGTCGTAGCCTAAACATAAATGTCGACCGAGGATGATAAATTAATTTGACAATATACTCTTACTCCTTTCTTTTCAAATTATATATTGTTATAGCTGGAATTGTTTTCATAAAATAAGTGTCGTTTTCTAATTTCAATATAATTTTTTCAATAATTAACTTTTTTTACCTCTAATTAAGCTAAGATAAATAATAAATGTTATTTAATTATAATGTTTAAACAAGGATAATTTTGAAAATCTAACTAATTTTTAATTTGTATGCAAAATTGTAGAATGACAACTAAGTTAAAACGAAGGGAGTATTAGTTATTAAAATATAAAAGGAATTTTACATTTCTTAAAAAATAACTATAAAAATATTTAAGCTTGATCTCTATATTTTTATTACATATAAATTTTTTTTAGGCATTGCTTATTGTTAGATAGGCTTATATATGCCTTTTGACTTCCTCCTAGTCCAAATTGCTCTGTGTTGTTCATTGAGCAGAGCTTCGAGAGATTTTCATTTGGTTGCCGTCAAAGAGATGAGTTAGAAATAAAGTGGGTTGTTTCTTTTCTTGTTTCTTATTATTTTATAGATATTTTAAATATATATTAATTTATAGAGTATTAATTTAAAAAGTTATACTGTAGATAGATAGATATCACAAAAAAATATAATTCACTATCTAACTAAAATCTTTTTTTCTTTTACAAACAAAAGATTATTAAATTAGCAATATATTAACTATAAATATATTAAAAAAAATCACATTTCTAAAAATAACTATAAAAAATTTAAAAGAACCCTAGTAATGCTCAACCCTAGTAATTATCTCTCGTCTCCACAATTACGTAAGGACATACAAAGGAACTTGGAACTCCGGTTCTGGTCTCTAGAGCATACACATCTATCAAGAAACCAGGCCGCGATGGAAATAGCAACCAGTGTAATAAGAGATAGAAGGTCTCAACCTTACATTGCTTCCAATGGTCCTTTCTGGCTGGCAAACTTACTGGACAAGGAAGCTCGAGGGGGGGGGAACCTAGTATGCGACTGTTGTTGGGCTGACAAAGGATGAATGTTAAAAGGAATCGGTCTACTGATTTAACATCCATGCTGTCGTTTTTATTATCTTCATGCTCTTTTGAATTCTTACACCACCTATTGGTGGTTTCTTTCTTCTCTTTGCATTCTGTATTTTGGATATCAATGCCTTTGCATTGAATTGTAACATTTGAAACTTCAGTGTTAAAAAAAAATACTATAAAAATCTAAACTTGATCTCTATGTTTTTATTTTCATCACGTATAAAATTTTTTTGGCATTGCTTTTTGTTAGATTGGCTTATATCTGCCCTTGACTTCCTCTTGATCCAGCTTGCTCTTTGTTGTTTACTGAGCAGAGCTTTCGAGAGATTTTTGTTTGGTTGCTGTCAAAGAGATAGTGAGTTAGAAATAAAGTGGTTCATCTCTTTTCTTATTATTGTGTTAGCTTTAACTTCATTCTGAGGCTTGCGATTGCTGGTTTTGTTGTCATATATATATATATGCTCTCCTCCATTAATTTTGTGCTTAGGGCATGTGCATCGCACGTATCCAAGATGGGTTTTTGAGGGAAAAGGGAGGTGTGGGGACCATCAAAAGAAGAGAGACGACTACGAAAATTGTGAAACAAGCAAGTTAGTTTTCATCACTATTCACAAGCCCCACTGACACGTAGCAGCCTGCGACTAGCTTCTTTTTTTTTGTTAATTATACAAAAACAAAAAAAAAAAGTAAAAAGGAAACCCATTATGCCCATTATGGGTTTCTGCATTGAAGGTGCTCTTAGGTTTTCTTGGCAATGGTGTTGGAGGTTTTTTTCTGACTTTTGCTTTAGGCATATATTGGCTCTCTGTATTTCCTTTCCTCATGCCGGCAAATTTTGGGAGCCATAGAAGATTTAGTAATAATATTACTAAAAATATTTTTTTACGGATTTGAAAGTCTGTACACAAATTTATGTATCTATGTCAATATAAATTAAAATTTTCAAAAATTTTAGAGACCATAGACGAATGTTTCATCAGGATTGGTCTAGGACTGGTCTTACCTTTGCCTAAATATATTTTCAGTTGGATCATAGCTTATATACACTATCGTGTTTATTCCAAATGTTTGTATTATAGATTTATGAGCAAAATAAAGAAAGCTAGGGTAGTTGCTTAAGCCCATGTCTTTGATAACTAATAGTAATAAGTAAACACCCGAGAAACTAATAATACAGTTTGAGTAAGTAATCAATAAGTTAGCAAAAGGGATGATTGATATGGACGGAACTTGGAACATAAGAACACACAAGTGGCCAATAATAAGTGTTTCTTGCTTCTCCGAGATCGACTTTTCTGTAGTAACCATCTTCTCCATTAATGTAAGCCACGTTTCGGTTTCCATCTACGTTTTTACCAATAATAACCACGACTTTCTTCTCCTCATCGATGAAGAAACCCCTAAACTTATCGAAAATCTGAGAATAACGAGTATTCATATCCACTGTCAAGAACTTATTCCACGACACTGTTTTTGGATTAATCTTACTTGTAACCCATATCTCAATCTCAGATGTACCCAGTTTCTCATGTAAAACAGCAATCTGTTCCTCTCTAACACTAGACAGAAACACAGTTTCGAAATCCAAATAAGAGTCAAACGGTAAACTCAGACGTGGTCCTAACCTCTCTTTTGTAAAATCAAAGCATATTAAGAACTTTTTCGTTATTGTTTCTAGCTTTTCTTTAGCAAGCCAATAAGTATTTCCCTTGAGAGATAAAGCATCTTTTAAAAGCATGATATCACCTGCACCATCTAAGCGATTGTTGATTGCAAGAACCTTCCATGAATCAGATTTAATATCGTACATCTCGTAGGGCCCAATATTAACGTTCAAAATCCTCAAGATTTTGTGGATACGAGATTTATCATTCTTCTCTTCGTATCCCATACCGTAAGTTTCCACACAATGATAAAAATTTCTAGGTTGAATCCACTTTCGTTGCCCCCAATATGGGTTCCAAACAACGAGCCTCTTCTTATTGTCGTTAATAACGAGTAACAACAAACCATCGCTTTGAAAAACTCCAAGTACATCGACTAAGTCCGTACTAGTGTTGTTGTAACGCATAATAAGTTTACCTTTGTTTTCTATAGATGGATCATCAACCTTGTTGTGAATACCATTGAGATTGACACCCATCAAATAAACCTTATAGTCCATCGTCATAATCACGTTACATTCTCTTGATGTTTCTTCACCAATGTGTTTTATTGCAAAACTCTGATTCTTGGATAAAGTGTTCCACTTCTTGCAAGTTAGCCGAACTGCTCTCATACATGTAACCGGAAGCTTTGAGAGAATCTCCTCCACCAGATCCCTTGGGAGATCTGACATCTCCATTGTTTCGAGTTTCAAGCAAGGATATTGTAGCTAGGGTTGTTAACCTTCAGGCTTCAAATACTTTTTTTCTTTGATTACACTTATATATACGTAACAACTGAACCCTAAATGAATATGGGTCAAGCTTGGGCTTCAATCTAGTCGGCCTAGTAATGTAGCTTGAAAGAACTTTTCCTTTCCTTCTACATGCGAGTTTATATCAATAATTTATTTTCACTTCTGATAAAAAAAAATTGTTTTCATTATGATATATACAGTTTCTTTTTAAGTTTTTCAATAAATTATACCTTTTAAAATAACTACTATTTAGACTTTTTTAGGGTATATGTAAACGTTAAATCTAAGAATCAAATCGAAAAATGCCTCAAAATAGAACTTTCAAATAATTAAATACTTATATTTTAAGAAAACTTAATTATTGAATAAGTTTTAAAGAAATGAAACCATTTAAGCTAAATATTTTTTTCATCTAAAATTTTTTTATTCAATATTGTCTATCAAAGACAATAACATAAAATTTGCTATAATACATCACATCAAAAAAGGTAAAATTGGGTGTTTAAGAAAGAACAAACCGTTAAAAATGTGATTTGACAAATACGACTACAAGAGAAATCAACGAGGAAGTCCAAACCAAAATTTGGTTAGATGTTATCAATACATTGATATCGGAAGGGTCTTGTTATGCGTTATTTAACAATCGAAGTGGTTTCTCGTATCACAGCAGGATGTAGGCAACATGTTGTAGATACTTTCATCGCCTATACTATTAAAAAATTTCTAGATAAAAATATATCTTTTTCTTTGGTTAAAACTGTTTTGGACGAGATTTCTTTCAAAAAAAAATATACTCTAAAACCCTTTGAACTATCTGCAATAACAATTACAAGGAATATCAAAGCAACACGAGTATATCTCAGCAAAAGTCAGAGGAAAACAAAACATCCCATAAACTTTGAAAATAAACAATCAGAATACTAAAAAAGAAAAATGAAAACATTAAAAAAGAAATGCCAG